CTCAGAGTTGCTAACGTAAAACAATATTTTGGTACTTGTATTGGGAATTATAATAAAAACGTGTTTGAACTGAATAAGGACTTGTGTGAATATTCTGTGCTAGAATAATGGGATATTGTGATCCATTTGAGTCTGTGCTTATTCCCAAGAGTGAATAAAATAAATGGCCAGGTTTTATACTTGATGTAATCATTCATATTTCAATGAGTATTTTCCCCCTGGAAGACAAAGCAAACTCTTTGTGATATTTGCATTAGTGAATTTTAGAGATAACTACATAATGTGTAACGCACCGTTTTAATCTTCAACATGGGGGCTGTCTTTATGTCATTGGTTTCATTCAAGACTTTATATAGCTCTATGAAAGCTGGGTCACTTACCAGATAGAGGGACAACTAAATTAAGATACGCTTGCCAAGAGTTGTTAAAATGTAAATTGTTTCAAATAAAACCTTTAACATCAGATGTAGTTTTTAAGGTATAGACGTTCTTTTCTCATAGTCTTTAAAACCATAGTGTTTTCAGAGGTACATTAATACCTTCCAGGTGTGCTCAGTTACCTTAGAGATGTTATAATCGGGGACACAAGGAAAAGACCTGAGCCATCAGAGGATTTAACGTGAGATTTCAGTGATCCCTTTCCAAAGCTGAAAATTTTATTTTATAATAATCACAGTCTCCCGATGATGTTTAAACTGGATGAGTAGAATATTATCACTATAGTGAGTCATCACTCATGATTCAGAGGAAGATTTGTGCCGTACCATATTGTGGGATACAATTTGAAGGTATTTATATAGTTAAAATGGACAATATGAAAAATGTATGTGTACGTAACCTAATAAATTTCTGAGTCCTGTTCACAGTAGTAAGTTATCGTTAATTGACCTAAGGTTATAAATGTATATTTGAAGAGATGCTTATGATCATTTTATTTAGGATTTGGATATTTTAAGAGATGCATGCCAGTGCCCCCAAAATCTATCATAGATTTATTTTAGAAGAGTAACAACATATGTGCAAAATATGTCCTCCCTGTTGGAGCCTCATTGAATCTGGAAGGAAAACTCTATGTCAGTAGGACCATTTAGATATGAAAAATAAATTTTATGGCAAGGTCCTTCCAGGAAATAAATCCTCTTGGATAGAATCGAAAATGGATCCATATCATACTTGATTGCATGCCGTACTGGATCAAGTTATACTGAAGCTTCATGCTTACTTGAGTAAGAAGATGCAGTCTTAAAATACCCTTGTATTTTATCCATAAGTGATGAAAGCTCTTAATTCTCTTCCTGTGCAGATTTTACCAGTTAAGAGAAAGAATCAAAAGGCAAAGTGGTAAAATAAAAAATATTACCCTTTAATTCTATTTTTTTTCCTTATATTGGAAATTCTTTATAGTACAACGGTAACTACTTTTCTTATACTATGTTATGAAGAAATGATTAAAACTAAATGTTACCAAGGTAGGAAGAACTATCCTTCTGCACTATTATACTTACATATTTAGGTATTTTTTCTGAAACTAAGGCATATGTCTATTAAATTTTGAATTAAACGCTGAGAACTTTTTTGATTTGAGGGAGGCTGTATTTGTCACTTTTTGTGTATTTTCACGTACTTGTTGGTTATCGGTAATAGGTGTAATTTTAATGGCACTTGTTACAACTAGGAATTTCTCACTGATAATTTCAGCTAATAGCATCATTTATTCTGTGCTTGATTTAGTCACATTTTGCCTATCTTTCTAATATTCTTTAATGCCTTCTTCATTCTTTTAGTCATTTAATTTTGTACCCTTTCAATTCTTGTCCAGAGTTAGAACATTTTTAAGACATTATAATTTTAAATTATCACAAATTTCCTTTGGGGTTAAGTAGCTATTTCCATTTTCCCATGAAGCTTCTATTTTACCATATTTTATTTTTCCATTGCCTAATGTCTTTTTTTAGATGAGATTCTCAAGAATAATGTTTACTTTTTAGCTTGGATTAGCTTGACAAAAATAGTACAATTAGTAGACAAAAATACAATGAATATATTTAGTATTTACAATGTGTTTTACTTAGTACAGGCATACTTGATTAGCCAGATGATATCTGCATGATAAACCAGTTTAAATGGTTTCTGTGATTTACCAGTTAATAAAATAACTAGCCAGTAAGAGTTAAACAACAGGATTGACTAATTTCTTCTTTCTCTGAAAGAAGTTGTTTTTTTCAATCGCTTCAATTAATTGAACCAGCTGGCACAATCAAACCTGTTATCTGTTTAAGCCTATCTAAGAGTCTTTTTCTTCTACATTTTTGCTAATTTAACTAACTGTGTTAACTGAGGACATTAATAGCAACTCCGTGTTGAAAATAGAAACCTAGAGAAAATATCAATTTGAAGGAAGTTGACAAGGCTAATATTTAAACTTCCTGGAAGGGGAAGGAACAAGTACCCTAAACAGACAATCCTGGTAATAGTCCAGACAGAATAAAATATTTTGTTGGTCCTTACCTCACACTTCAGAGGTATTTAAAATATACTTGTAATCATTGACTACTACTTCTCCTTTTTTCCTTCCTTCCTTCCTTCCTCTTTGTTTGGGGAGGGCCGGGATAGGTACTAACCAGGAGAAATTACCTTTAGTTCTACAGGTGGTAAAATAAAAGGAGAGAAGTCTTCAAAATAGAAGTAGTGACCCTAGAAAAGAAGAAAGAGAATAAAAATTTGTTAGATTATTTTTTTTAATGCTTGTGTTTTTAGAACTTGTTTTTAAGTTCACTTGTAGTGTTAGGATATTTTAAAATAAGAGCATATTAGAGCATTTTAAAAGCATACTGAATATAAGTTTTTCTCTCACAGTGCATCTGTTACAGAAAGTTTTGGCAAGAAATGTACTGTGTAATGAATGTTTTCTTTACATTTCTATAATGATTAAATTTTGGTTAGACTTGTTCTTTAATGTCATTTGTATTTTAATACCAAGATGTCCTGACAGAGAGGAAACAATGATAAACAGAGTCACATCACAGATCACTTGATCTAAAGGTCCTATCAAACCTCATAAATATACTACCATGTGTAAAATAAATAGCTAGTGGGAACCTGCTGTATAGTACAGGGAGCTCAGCTCGGTGCTCTGTGACGACCTAGATGGGTGGGATGGAGGGGGAGTGGGAGGGAGGCCCAAGAGGGAGGGGATATAGGTATACATATAGCTGATTCACTTCAATGTACAACAGAAACTAACACAACATTGTAAAGCAATTTTACTCCAGTTAAAAAAAAAAAAAGGTCCTATCATTCAAAGATCTGTTGTAGAGGCATGTAATACATCCTTAGAAAGAATATAATTCTTTATTTCCTCAGGCTTCATGGTGTTCATCTGTACAGGTAACTCCTGATTACCTATATAAATTTCAGGATTTCCCATTGCCAAAATTTTTGTTTCTAAAAGACACGCATAGTTTAACTGGATGCTATTCCAAATCAGCATAGTTAAACATAATAGTCTTTACTGTGTACTTTCAAAATATATCAAAATTCCTCAACATGTAAACTTCCTGACTATTTTTTTACATCATATAAGATAGAATACTGTAGAGTCCCAAAATAAATTATCAATTATTTTTCCTTCTCTCTCTCTTTCTTAAATTTCTATTTCACATAGATTAAAACTTAACCGTCATTTTGGCAGGATGTGTGATTTCAAGCTATTAAGGTGAGCTGTGTAAAAAGGAAGGTCAAAAACCATGAACTGAGTCATAAACTATGTAGCCTACCCCAGTGACCTACATTGTACATTGTATTTATGCTTGGATTTTTGAACAAATTTTGTTTATCTGTACAAAAGTATTGTCACAATATAAAATAGTTGTACTATGCCATTTTTTGAGTGTCCAGCAATACGTGTTAAAGTAATAGAACTATGGGTCTATTATAGATATGCTAAAAAGTGTTTTCATACTGGCTAAAATGGCAACATCTTGTCATGTGAAGATACAGTTAATTTTGTGATCATTATTTTTGTTTGCGATTGCATTAAAGTTCTTATTTTTTAATATGTTATTGTATATGTAGCTAAGCAGTAAGATCTGTAAGATAAACATGAAAATTTGTGAATTTTAGTTTCACTTTAGAATAATTTCTCAAACCACAATATCATTTCCAAATGCTGTGACGTTTAGAATTGGGAGTGCTCGTAAGTTAATGCATCCTGATGTATTGCTTAATTCAGTATATAGAGAATCTTAATTTTTAAAAAAACTTATTTAATACATAAATACAGGCATGAAAATGAAATCTATAGGTATGCAACTAAAAATTATTTTAAACAATGGTAAATGTGTGTGCCTATGAAAAATGAAATGATTGTGTCACACTAATCACCATACTTTTGAAGATGTACCGTAAAATGACTTGGAGAAGACAGTATTGTTTATATTTATGAAAAAAGTACATTTTCCTAGAAAATATTCTCTCGCATTGGCCTTTCATACTCCATTTTTGTAAACTTTTTTGAGAATCTGTCACATTCTACTGACTTAGGAGTGTAATGTATCTTTTTTGGGAAACGATATGAATTATCTTTCTTGTACACCAGTCAGGATGTGAGTGAACTAATTTTTTGGGAAGTTACTCTTTATTATCTTTCTTTCAAAAGTGGGATTCTAACAAAGCAAATTTAAATATGTTTCTGACTGTGAGATAAATCTCCCCATTATGAAACACTGCATGATAGATTTACCTTATAAATAGCTTTTACGCGGTTATGCCGTACAATAAGGTGAGTTAGGAACTAAGTGAAAAGCTCTAAAGTGATAAATTTTTTTGTTTTTGGAGACTCAAAGGAATATCCATGTGCTAAATAACATGCTTCTTGATTTCAGCCAAGTTCAAAAACTTTGTAGAAATAGATCATTTAAAAATGATAACTATGTGTCATTGTTGTTGTTGTTTTGTGTGTTGTTTGTGTGCGTATGTATTTTCTTTTTCATTTTAACCAGCCTCTTATACCTAGAAGTCCCACAAGCAGCGTTGCCACGCCTTCCAGCACCATCAGTACACCCACCAAAAGAGACAGTTCCGCCCTCCAGGATCTCTACATTCCCCCTCCTCCTGCAGAACCGTATATTCCCAGGTATAAAATTAACCATCATGTTGTTCTCCGTAGCTTCTAGCTAAAGACTAACCTAAGTGCACGTAAACTGTGAAGTAAATTCTCACGAAACACCTTGAATATTTTCTCAGTTGAGAATTCTGAGCACATTCTGGAAAATCATTGCCTTATAGAGACTGTACTCTAGTTAATAATAACAATAACAATAACTAATTTGTATTAAACACTCTACATTAAATATCTTATAAGCATTATCTCACATAATAGGAAACTAATATAAAATAGTAGCTAGGATTATTTTAGTAAGTAAAAAATAAGTGAGGCTCTTTGGTAAGAAGCCACAGGAAATCTCAAGTTACTTTGAAGCATTTCATACTTTATTTCTAAAAGAGAAAGTTAGAGATAACTTCTATGCTTTCTTAAATGTATGTAATGAGGAAGATTTTTTTTTCTTGGATGATGATGAGGGAGAGTGTTTCTTCCCCCAGTACCTCTGTCTCTACAGTATCCACTTGGTTAGTTCATTAATGTTTCTTTCAGAAAGTAGAGAGAGTTTGCAAGAGAATGAGTTGCCTTTAAAGTCTATTTTCAGATTTCTGGAGGCTGTATCTCCATTTCATGTTCCAAATTCCTATTTGAAATTCTTGGCAGGTGGAAGACTATAACTTTGTGCCATCATGCATTTTGTCCAAAAGCATTATGATTTCCAGCCTTGTGGAATACAAAAATTATGGAAAAGGGCCAGCACTAAATGGGGATAATTAATACCAATCACAAAGTATTTTGATTCAGTTTTTAAATTAGTTGTGCAGTCCTTCAAAAACAATAATTTAAGGTCTCTTGTTTCCAAGCTATACTTAATATTAAAATTCTTTAATAAAAGTACTGAAATTCCTTGTTTTAATTAATTTTCACTATTCTTCACTTTAGTATACCTAATGTTTCATTCTGTTGGATATGATGGTACTGACATTTTACCGTCTAAATGCTACATGACAACATTGGCATGTCTGCAAATACTGTGTTGTCATCTACTAATAAAACTGCAGTCAATTTTATTAACATTTTAGGTCTTTTTTTGAGAATTAAATGTGGTTGTGAGAACATGGTTTGTGAGAAGATACAATTTACTAAGCTGGCGTTTCAAAAATCGTTCTAATATATAATTTACAGTCATGTTAAATTTACAATCAGATGTACAAATTCATCTGATATCCTAGTCAAATTCAAGTTGAATTTTAATCTATTAAGATAGTATCAGACTTTTTGAATACTCTTGTAAGAGGAGCAATAAAACCATGTGTGTTTCAAATAGGAAATGAATCTTTTGGTTTGTTTTCATTTTAATGGGAAAGATTTTTATTTCAGTGCAAATGATTATTTAAAAGACCTTATTCTTCAGAGGGCTACATGTACAGATAAACATCAGAAAATTATTTTTAGCAAGTCTCTGCGGTTCTTTGATTTTCTTTCCTTGTCTCTTGGATAGGGAGGAACTTGTAATAAAGAGAGTATTTCCTAGACAGAATGTATTTAAAATGTACTTCAGAAGACAAAGGAGTTAAAGAATCCAGTTCTGTCCTCTAAGTGTGGTGCAGATATGATGAAGGCAATATATTGAAGTCAATAAAAAGCTTTAAACATGCTGTTTACAAAAGCAGGAGAATGCAAGAGATTGAAGTATCAGCATAGTGGTACTTGTTTTGGTAGTATTGCTTGAACGTTCCATACTTTTCAGTAAAATTCATAAGTAGGGTATTATCTGTCGCCTTAATTGATTCTTAGTCTAGTGTGTAATTTAACAGAATGTTCTAAATGTTTTTGAGTCAGATTATTAATTACCTAGTCACACAATCGTTTGATATAGCCCAGTTAGAAAATTTGTGCATGAGACTCCCTTTGTACCACAGCCTCATATAAATTATCTGCATTTTCTGGTTTGATTTGAAGTTATAGTCATAAAACTTTTTGCATTTGTCATTCTTTTATAGGTACAGCTGTGGCTTTTTTCTTCTCATTTTGAGGATGAATGAGGCTCACCTAATTTAACTCATCTGAACGTTTATTTTTTCCTACATTAAAAACTTTTGTTTATGTAGGATAGGCATTTGGGTGATAATTTGAATTGTAAATAATAAAAGTTTTCTCATCTTAAAACCAAAAAACCTTAAAAATGGTAGGACTGGTTGTCAAATTAGGTAGACTTTTTTTCATGTGATTATAATTCTTTGAACACATTTATTCCAGAAAAAGAATGTGATTGCAAAAGTGACTTTTTCTTTAAAAGAGAAAACACTCATGTATGTGAAGTGAGTGAAATTTGGTCAGTTTTTTATTATATGACTGTATACAATTTCGTTATCATAGTATACAGTGAACTTTTATACTTAACCAAATTTCTTTTTCTATCATGAAAACCAAGAATTTGTAGGTCTTGCACAACTGTGAAGTTTAAATACTAATTTCTCGTATTAATTTTACTGTGAGCCATTAAATATAAAGATAGTCCAGTGAAGCAGTGCTCTAACTTTCCATCTGTTCCCTTAAATCCTTTTTAGAGCAGAAGTGTAGATTTATTATATATATGTATAGATGTATAACATTAAGAAAATTTTTATAGCAGTACAAATTAATATGTTGAGTTATTCAGGGTCTCATAATGTGAGTACATATACACACAGCCACACCCACTTATATACGCAATACATGTATCAATTCATTCTACTGCAAAGTTTGGTTTTGATCTGTACTTTTCTTAATTCAACTTTATTGAATGCATCCCATATAGACATGTCTAATAAATCTTCTTTGTTGGTAGAAGGCCTCTCATACCATTATAGGTAAGGAATACCAGCCCTTCCCATTTTCTACCACAGGGTGTGTCCTTATAAGTAGAGCATGGTGAATTAACTAGGGCTGAATCACCCTCTGATCTCAGCTGCATTAACATTCATGTCACAGGCCTGGCAGAAACGTCTGCCCATTTATGGATAGGCATAACCTTCCCCAGTGCCCCAAGTTCATTAGGGCTGTTTCCAAGCTAATTGCAGTGTCAGTTTCTTTTTGCTAGAGGACTAACTAACAAAAAGCACCAGGCAATTTGTTAAGGAAAAGTTTTTAGCTAGCCAAAAATAAAATTGTGCCTGGATTTTATATTTATTTTCTTTGTGTTGCCTAGGAACTAGCTTTCATAGTTACAATTTGGTAATAAGCAATACTTTTATTTATACAATGGAATATTATGCAGCCATAAAAAGAAACAAAATTGAGCTATTTGTAATGAGGTGGATAGACCTAGAGTCTGTCATACAGAGTGAAGTAAGTCAGAAAGAGAGAGACAGATACTGTATGCTAACACATATATATGGAATTTAAGAAAAAAACAATGTCATGAAGAACCTAGGGGTTAGACAGGAATAAAGACACAGACCTACTAGAGAATGGACTTGAGGATATGGGGAGGGGGAAGGGTAAGCTGTGACAAAGCGAGAGAGTGGCATGGACATATATACACTACCAAACGTAAAATAGATAGCTAGTGGGAAGCAGCCTCATGGCACAGGGAGATCAGCTCGGTGCTTTGTGACCACCTAGAGGGGTGGGATAGGGAGGGTGGGAGGGAGGCACAAGAGGGAGGGGATATGGGGATATATGTATATGTATAGCTGATTCACTTTGTTATAAAGCAGAAACTAACACACCATTGTGAAGCAATTATACTCCAATAAAGATGTAAAAAAATAAAAATAAAATAAAAGAGTGACAGCTTGCTGATTCAGTCAATCTTGAGAATATTATTTACTACTTTCTACATAGTTCAAATAATAGGAATATAGTTCTCTTCATTTGGACAAACCCAACATAGACATTTGTATACTGAGAGAGAAGTATAGTATACTGTAGTATAAAAGTATAATATTTTTGGTGAACTGAAACTCATATTTTAGAATTGACATTAGCTTTATAAGCTCATCACCATCTCATAAGACTTAATAGGTCACTTATAAATTTGTTATTTTTATCTGTCTTGTTATAATTCAGTTTATTCTGTGGATTTAAGATTTCAGTCTTGGCACTTAAAATTAAATTTTATCTGGTTTGATAGTATTCATGGCACTGTTTAGGGTAGAACTGGAAACAATTAAGAACTAGGAAGAAATAAAATTAGTGATCAACAAGGAAAGAAACGTTGCATTTACATCCATAGTCATGTTCTAGAATATGAGCTTTTCTAACAGAAATTTTATAGCTAGTCAGTGAAATTATCATAAAATAAGCAAGGTTCATTTTAACTAATCCTAAATGGAATATTTCTACCAAATTATTGTCCCAGTCACCTGGGCTGTGTGATTAATATTTACTATGTGTGAGTAACAGTTTTAGGGATCCCATAAATTTAAATTAGAGATTTTTCACTTCAGAATCCTATAGAAAAAAAAAATCAACTTGCCACCATCTTAAATCCCATTCTTAAACTCTATATATGGTAAGGTTTCTCCACCCTCTCTCCACAAGAAATGTTGCTGATGTGTAATTAAATTTTGATATATCCATTTAGAATGAGTTCCATGAACATATCTTTTTTTACTATTAAATGAGATAATACAGTTTAAATACAGAGAATAATTCTTTTCATTAAGGTTTATTTTAAATTAATAACAAGCTGTTTGAAATTCTTACAACACCAGTTTATATAGTGCTAACTTAGTTCTTAAGGTCACAGTACCCTCACAGAAGTGGTAGTTCTTAAATACATCTTTGTTTTTAAGCAGTGCAAATATTACCATGAATCAATTAGATAAACTAGCAGAAGAAAGCTACATTGTTAGCACTGTTAACATTATACCTACTTTCTTAAGCACTAAAAGGAATTTATGAGCTAAGATGATGTCTTTTATGTGCCATAGTATTGAACATGGACTAGAGCAGGAGTTAGAAGATCCATGGCCTCTGTCTAGCTGTGTAACCTTTAGGCTAGTCATTTAACCTCTCTGAGCCTTGGCATTTTTTTTTCCTGCAAAACAGGAATAATTTAAAGTTGCCCTATAAACCTCAGAGAAAGTTTGGAAAGATCAGAAGATATATAGGAAGGACATTATTACTACTTTAGACTGTCTCTGTCATTTTACCACTGTAACACTTTTCTACATCCTTCTCCTTTACCATCTCTTTAGGGATGAAAAAGGAAACCTTCCTTGTGAAGACCTCAGAGGACACATGGTGGGCAAGCCAGTGCATAAGGGATCTGAATCACCAAATTCATTTCTGGATCAGGAATATCGAAAGAGGTTTAATATTGTGGAGGAAGATACTGTCTTGTATTGTTATGAATATGAAAAGGGAAGATCAAGTAGTCAAGGAAGACGAGAAAGCACCCCAACTTATGGTAAGAGTTCTTCTCTTACATTGATGAAAGAGCTTATGTCTGGTATGGGAATCTCAATTTCTTTTCCTAGGCTTTTGGGTTGTGAAAATTACTTGATAGCTTTTGAATCTTTATAATTGATCTGTGTCTGTCGTATGCTTCCAAGTGGAATCTCAACAATATGAGGCATGACATTAAAATTTATTCCAAGTTTTCCAAAAATAAGCAAGAATAGTAGGTAGCATTTTAACTCATTAATGATTTACGGAAACCTTTTTGACTCACATGTAATTTTTGTAGATCAGGTGTTGCAAAACTGGACTAGTTCAAGGGTTTTTTTCCCCTTTTTTTAATGAATATTTACTGTTAACATAACTTATTTAAAATAAAATTTCCTTATTTCTCAGGTATTAAAAAATCTTTAGATGGACTTTTCTGGGTAAAATCTCATCTCAATTTTTGTTTTTTATAAGAAGCTGTAAATTTTGAGTGGATTTTAAATAGGAAGGACATAATGTATTTAAAGCAAAGATGGGCCTAGAGTTACCATGTCCCAGGATTTTTTATCTGACTCCTGTTTTTCCATGCATGACCCAGAAAGTAACCCAGTCACAAATACTTAAAAATTGATATAGTGTAGCTGTAAGATTTGCAGATAAAGTTGCCTAAAGTTAAAGTAGTAACACCTATGGTCCTATTGCAAGAATGAGTGTATTGAACTGGAATTCTATGCTCCTTCCTTTTCAGTTTTGGGGGAAGGGCAGGATCCTTGCTGATTAGTTCAGACTTGATGAGTGGGAGCTGAGCAGAAGGAAAGTTGTTTCTAACTTTCTCTTTCCACCTGCCTCCCTTACTTTTTCACTATGGCCATATGCCTCCCTCCTGTGGTTCCGAAAGATTACCTACGTTATTACCCACGCCCTGTTTCCTTACAGCTCTTTGGTAATAATTATGTATGAAAAGTTTTGGCCAAGACGATCCTAAATAATAGGAACCATACCTATCTTGCTTTGTGTTATTCTCTGTACATGTGCTGTTTTATCATGTGCTCCTCCTCAATTATACTACTCTGGTGGCACTTATTTTGAACTGTCATAAATTGAAGGTATTTGTACCTTTGCTTTTCTCCACTATTATATTGTAAACCTCTGCAGTATAGAGGCCTGCCATCTTTTTATCCCTGCCCCTGCCCCATCACATGAGATTTTTATTTTTGTTAATTCATTGCACAAGTACTTATTGACTACCTATTATTGGATAGGCATTAATGTATATCAACTCTTCTTTTGTTATGTCCCAGAATTTTCTGGCTATTTTCTACTTGTGTTGAAGTAGATAAGAATGTTTAATTTAAGGGGAACTTATAGTCACCAGATGAAGTTGATTATTGACAGCTTTATAAAAAAATAGCTTACTAAGTTCTTACTTAAATGGCTCTGAATTCTTAGTTCCTTCAAACTATGGCTTAAAGCACCTAGTGCTATCATGTTCCACAGATCATATCTCTTCCAATAAAATAGAATACCATTTAAATTTTAGAAAAAGTAGATATCCTTAAGATACTTGATATACTTTTATAAACCACTTAGGAGAAAAGAAATGTATATATGCTTAAAAGAGGGATAACGAAGTAAAAGCAAAAGTTCTTTTACTTTTGGTCATAGAGTCTGAACTTTCACTAGAGATACTTATAGATACTTCAGTAGAGATTCCCTGGCACAACTTGAAAGTTGTTCCAGGTAGCTAGCAGTTGAATGTATATTTACCTTTTTAAAATCAGCTCTTAAATAATAAAACTTACCTTTCACATATGTGAATTTGTGGCCATAGTATTCCCAAAGATTAATTCATTTGTTAACTCATTCAGCTAATATTAGTTGTGTGCATCAGGTCAGCCAGGCACTTGGGATGCAAAGATGAATAAAACATAAATCTTCCCTGGAAGGCAGTCACAATGCAGAGGGAAAAAACAAAGAGATGCAGTGCAGCCACTTTAGGTAAGTAAGAAGGTGTGAACAGAGTGCTGCAGTAGCCTGGGAGCTGAAGCCCCAGAGTCTTCCTGGGAAGTCACATAAATAAAAGTGACATTTATGCTTGAGTTTTAAATGATGAATAGTCATTATCCAGGGTTTCTAAATGCTGGTTATCCCCACTAAATACCTGACACCTTCTCAAACCTAGATCTGAGATCTGAGGGTTTATATAAATCTCCCAGCCCAGACCCTAAAGGTCCCAAGTAACTTCAAACCTTAATAAGCAATAACTGATGACAACTTCTTTATTTAACCTATAAAATGGTCCCATTACATCAACCCCCAAGTGTGACAATATTCTCTTGGATTTAAAAACAATGACAATGAAATACTTGATCCTGCTGAAGTATATTGAAAACAAAAAAAAACCCTGAAGTTACAAAAAAAGTCCATATTTTCTGAAAATGACAGTAATTTAACCTGTTAGCACTTGTGTAATACCTTAAAAGGCATTGTATAAGTCCTTTAGCCTTACAGTGTTCAACTTAGTTCTTAGTTACAAATACCCTTATCTTCAAGTATGTGGACTTAGTCACCATTACTACCTATTAACTTCCCAGCTTACCTGTTTACTCAAAGAGGTTTAGAGTTATAAGAGTCTAAATAGGATTTTGAGAAGCAAAGGAGAAACATGATAGAGTTTTTTTGTTCGTTTGTTTGTTTTTTTGCGATACGCGGGCCTCTCACTGTTATGGCCTCTCCCGTTGCGGAGCACAGGCTCCGGACACGCAGGCTCAGCGGCCATGGCTCACGGGCCCAGCCGCTCCGCGGCATGTGGGATCTTCCCGGGCCGGGGCACGAGCCCGTGTCCCCTGCATCGGCAGGCGGACTCTCAACCACTGCGCCATCAGGGAAGCCCCTTGATACAGTTTTTAGTGTGTGCTTTTGGTTTCATTCATATGATAGATATATAAGACAAAAATATTTAGGGAAGCTCTGTTATAAGACACTGTGACATAGAAACAGATGGAAAGAAAAATACTTGAAAATATCCTAATTGTGAGCTTTAAAATGTATTGATTAACCAAGTTCTCATTTTATATCATGAACCCACTCTTTGTGGCTAAGAGTGAATTAAAAAATTAGTTATTTGCCCTAAGCTGTAAGATAAATACAGTATGGATAGACAGTGGATGGCCAGTCTAGAAAATAAGTAAATAATACCTGTTGAGATTTATGTATGCCAGGCACTCTTCTAAGCATTTAAAAGTCATTAACCCATTTAATCCTCACAACAACCCTGTGAGGTAGATACTAATAGAATCCTCACTTTACAGATGGGTTAAATAACTTACCCAACTAGTAAGTGGTAGAGCTGGGATTAAATACCCATGGATATTTGTTGGCTCTACCAGTGGTACTGGATAGCTAACTATTATGAAAATAATTTGCAAAAGTGTAGGAAAAATAATTTCCAAAAATTTCATTACCCCTTCCAAATTCAAGCATTTGATTTCAGGCAAGCAGAACTAGATCTGTTCGAATATGTTTTTCTATATGTTTTGTATTTCCTGACACTATAATAAACATGCATTTACATAGACATGGCCTTAACACACCTTAGGAAAAGATAGCTAAATTGAGGGGTACGGTTAGCAACAATGTGTATGCCCTTTTTAAATGAGAGAGCATATAATAGGTTTTACTTTCCTAAAACAATAAACAAGAATGATTTCTGGAAATACAGATATAGTAGGTGAGGCAACCTAGATTAGTGATCGCTGGCATTGACTTTATCATCAGCCATACTTGGTAATCCTGACTGCCATCTAATTAGTCCAGTGTGACCTTAAGAATGTTACTCAAGGCCTCAGTTTTCTCATTTGTTAAATAAAGATGATAATATCTGCCTGATAGACTTTCTGTTAGAATTTAATGACAACACACTGTAAATTGCCTAGAAAGTGCCCAGTATGTGCTAGATATTTCTTTTCACTGTTGTCATTATTACATAGAGACTTTAATGTTGCTGAGAAAATAGATCTTGAGTGTTTTTACCACAAAAAAAGGATAACTATTTGAGATGATAGATGTGTTAAATAGCTTGATTGTGGTAATCATTTCACAATGTTTACATATAATATCAAATCATCATGTTAATATATGCAATTTTTATTTGTCAATTATACCTCAATAAAGCTAGGGAAAAAAACAAAGAACTGAAATATCTCAACAGGTAAATAATAATAATATGAGCCATTTAAAAGTCTTTCAAGAATAAGATGGAGTGAATAAACAGAAAGTTCAGAAAAAAAAAAGAAACTTTAATGTGAAAGTAAAAGGGTGAAAAAAGATAGCATTAAATCACTAACTATTTGGTCTCATCTGCTCATGCTTCAAAGGCAAAGGTTCAAATTTGATGAGATAAGTTGCTTGGCAGCTTTTCAGAATGGTAATATTTCCCATCAGCTTTCCCTTTTCACTGTTCACAGACTCCTTGCCCTTGCTGTTCCATCATAGCACATTTCTGTGCATAGAAACCTGCTAAAAGGTAGACACAGTTGGCTGAGTCCCTTTGTGGTTGTGAGTGGTCATATTTTATAAGAATAGGATAAAAACATTTTTTACAGTAATATTATAGAATAGTATTGGTTTGAAGGAATTCAGACCTTTTCTGATTTATTGAAAATCCAGGACCTCACAAAAAGCACGTGAACGAATGCAAGGTTGGTATTTTACAAGTGCTCCTCAGAAATGTTATTTGTACACACTGTGCATTGAGGAAAATTAATTTCTGTAATATTATACCTGAACATTTTCCACCAGAGTAGTTGGGACAAGAGAAAACCAAATACCATGTCCCTTTTATCCACATGAATAGCAAATGACTTGAAGTGATTTAACAGTAGCATGGTGAAGGACTTATGGGCAGTGATACTGTGAACTGAGTTTTATCAGTGTGAGGTAGGGATATGGTCTGAAGGTTCCAGGGTCTCTCATACTTCAAAATCACCTTTCTCTGTCTTACAACTTCATTCTATCTTTTGG